CCCCCCCACCCAGAATCTGGATAACCATCTGAAGGTAATTCTCTCCTCAGAAAATAACACTTTTTTTTCCAACTGGCAATCAGAAAGAAACCCTCGTTGTAAGTGTTTAACCGGCAGCTTGACCGCCGTGGTCTGAGGCAGGTCAGAAGTGTTCACCCACTCCAACACCTGGGACGCCACCTGATGGACACCTTCATTTACAGCAGCTTGTCCAGATTGCAGGCTAATTTTCTCGGGGCTAAAGAAGAGGGTTGATGTAACAGACACAACCGCGACACAACCGCGCCACGGATTCAACTTAATGAAGCATTTTAACGTCACGCTGTGTCAGTGTCAGTGTCAGCGCTGATTTACACTGAAATGGAAGTGACAGCGTCGGCTTCTCTGGTTGGTTAATCCCCGTGCAGCTTCGTTCTATCCTTAGCAGCAAACTAAAATTAGCTGGATGACTGTTTTTGACCCCGACAGCAACAGCAGAAAACTGTAAAACAAACACCAGACACAGAGGAATAAGAAGAAACAGTCAGTAAATCCAGGAGGTGGCTCAACCTGGGGGGCGCAGCAGAGTACACATCAGAGTACACACCAGGGTACACATCAGAGTACACACCAGAGTACACAGCTGATTCCTGTTATATTTTGGTTTCAGAGTCAAACAGTCAAACTGACTTCCTGTTGTTGTGGTTCTTATTTCAGCAGGTTTGGATCGTTCTCCAGCTGCAGCCTCCAGTGCTGTGATGGATCATGGAAACAACCATGTGATAACCACTGACCAGTGACCACTGACCACTGACCAGTGACCACTGACCACTGACCAGTGACCAGTGACCAGTGACCACTGACCACTTCACTCAAGGTTTAACCTCAGTTCAGATGCAGAGATTTTGGTAAAAAATGTGACGTTTCCATCCTGTGTCACAGTGGAGCAACAGCCCTACAGCCAGAAGATCACAAGTTCGATTCCGAGGAGGTCATTCTCGGTCTCTCTGTGCCTGGCGGCTGCAGAGACGCCCCGGTCCAACACCACACGCTCAGAGCATCAGCAGATAACATCTGTTAGATCTTCTTCTGTGGCCTTTGACCTCTGCCCCCTGGTGTTCATTATAAGACATGCTGCCCCCAGGGCATTGGTGAAACATGGAAGTGCATTAATCTTGATTCTCCACTTCAGTCCAAAGGGTGGTTCGTGGCCCCGCCCAAGGACAAAAACAGACAAAAAAAAATCTGTTTTTCTTTCCTCTGCTGACACCGTGATGTCACCTCCAGAGGTTGTCGTCCATTTGTCCGACAGCGCTCACTCTCTGGGTTTGCTGATCTGGGTGAAAATGAAAGAGTCACACAGGGCGTTATGCCATGACCATCTCCAAACAGCGCTGTGATTTATTTGTTTGCTGATGCAGTGTGAAGGTGACCGTCACCTCAGCAGAGCTGGGGACCGTGACATGTTTATGTCAATCAGTTTAAATTCAGCTCCCTTCCGTTCAGCACGTATGCCTGTTATGGCGACGCGGAGGTCACGGCGCTCTGATGACATATATTCATGTCTCTGATTTAGAGTCATGTGAGATAAGATCAGCTGTGAAGCTCTCTGCTCCTGCTGACGTGGATGTGTTGACGATGGTCTTCACAGATTACCATGTCACCAGGCTGGTGACACTTGGACGTTCACCAACAGAACACTGAAGAATGTGACACGAGACAAAGGACTGCTGTCTTTGTAAAACACCTCTCACTTCCAGCACTTCGCTCTGAACGACCGCGTCTCGTGTTTGATCACTTCTCAAACTTGTCACAGCTGCGACGGTGAGTGAGAGAATAATGCAGCTGTCGCCGACTTTTGGCTCGGACTCTGAGGGAGTGAGAGCAAACTCACTACAGTGTTCAGACCGGAGGTGCCCAACCACAGGGCCGTGGAACACTAGTGTGCCGTGGGAGATCTCTAGGTAACCAGTCAGAGACTCTGGTTAAGACTTTCAGGTTCTTCCTTTGAACCATCTGTAAATTCACTGGTGCTGAAGGTTTACGTCTTTAAAGGCAACAACGGGATGAGGTTTTAAAATCATCAAGATTTGTTTTGTGTTTAACAAAAATTAAAGAGAGAGAGAATGAGAGAGAGAGAGAGAGAGAGAGATCCAAATGTCACTCCAAATGTCACAGACAGCAGAGAGGCCTGATGATGATGAATGATCAGGAAAATTGTCGTCATTGTTTCCAGCCTCAGAAAAGAGATGGAGTGAGCAAAGAGAAGCACGAGGAGTCGGCGATGCTAATGGGCTTTGACCAAAGCTACAGCCTAGTGACCACACATTAAACCACGCAATTACCAACGCTCCTCGCTCATTACAACACCACAAACATACATCTGCTTCAGGGTCACGGGGTCACGCAGTCACAGACGCTGCCTTTTGTTTTTATGAAACCACGTGAAGCTGCGTCGGAAAATATGTCAAACACATTTGTGGATTTTTTGCCCATTTTGTTTCTAACACAGTGGAACTTCCTGTTGTCCAACTCTTTTAACCAAACAACAACAACAACAACAACAACAGCAGCAACAACAACAACAACATTTTTATCATTTTTTTCTCTATCGTTTATCGTATCATTTATTCTCTATTTATTATCTATCTTTTCTCTCAACAGTACCACAGACTGTCAACAGTACCACAGACTGTCAACAGTACCACAGACTGTCAACAGTACCACAGACTGTCAACAGTACCACAGACTGTCATACAGACTGTCAACAGTANNNACAGACTGTCAACAGTACTACAGACTGTCAACAGTAAAGAAAAATAAAGATAATAAACCAAATAAAGAAACCCTATCAAATGACCCGCAGCACCTCCACTGAGCCACAGCTGACTTTTCTTCTTCCTTTAAACTTCATATATTTCATTCTTTCTTCTACTGTAGCTGTTAAAAAAACAAAGTCCAACAAAGAGTCCCTGCAGAGGTGAGGTGAATAGAAGTGCAGGTAAATTAGATCTGTGTTCAGCAGCAGCTCCGTCTGCCTCTAACTGCACCAATAAGATCTGTCCGTGAGTGGAAGCTCTGCTCTCATTGGAATTCACCAACCTGTTCCTTCTGCTCCGTCTCTTTATTCCCTTCATGTCTGCCGTTGAATATTTATCCTCTTCTTATTTGCCGTGGTGTCAGCTGGGCCAAAGTTCTAGACTACGACGCTCCTTATTTGTAAATCATCTTAAATGATGAGCCCAGGTCAAAATTTCACTAAGAAATTCACAAGATTTTTATGATGATTGATTTTCTTTTATGTCCGATGAGTCCTTCTGTCAAGGATAAATGTGGACTCTTAGAGTCGGAGAGGAGTGAAATACTGTCAATCAATCGGTGCTTCAACCTGCAGTGTTGGAACCTTTGGTTCGTCAGCGATCTGTGGCTGAACTGATGGATAAAAACAGAAGTTATTTAGAACAGTTCACGTTGACTCAGAGATACAGTGAGGCTCAAGCTCTGGGTCGGGACTGGGTTTGGCTTCAGGGTTTGAACTAATGACCAGTGGAGTTATGATTATGGAAGGAAAAATCAAAGTGTACAGTTCAGTATCAGACGTTTCTAATATGTTCAATAAAATAACGTCTGTCACAGTTTGTTCTTGGTTGAACACCAGTCATTGGTCAAGAGCCCCCCCGACCCCCGCCCCCCAGGATCGTCTGCCCTCCAGTGATGTCACTGCTTCACTGACTTTTAATTATTCTCCTTTAAATAGAAATATATAAAATGTTAATATTGAGAGTGTAAGTAAAGTGAGACATGGTTAGTAACAGTGATATTAGCTGTGGTGTAGCTGTCCATGGTGCTGATCCATTCAGCCTTCTCCTTTTACCCCAAAACATCATTTCATGACACATAACAGGCAGGAAACAAATATTTATCTGAATATTTTGACCTTGGGATGCAGCATCATATCAGAAAATAAATAAACTTTTATTTTTTTAGGTTTCACTCTGTGGACCAGTAAATAAACACTTCAGTTTATCACAGAGTCAGGTGGTGTTGACCAAAGACTGGCTGTTCAGCTGCGGTACCACTGCTGGCCCCTAGGGGCTGACACAATGTAAATTCTAAAGTCATCAATTCACAACTGTCCAACTTTCCACATTAAATATGAAGTCAATAGCATTTCTCTGGGTCAGTGTGGTGTGATGTAGTAGAGTTAGACTTCATCACTGCTGCCAGGATTCTTCTGACTAAATAAAGCTCAAATTATTCTAGGTTTTAAAGGTGCAGCTGATGTAAATGAAGATCCAAATGAAGAGAGGTTTGTACAGATGATTGATGATGACTGGAGGCCTTCAGATGATCAGATGATCTTTAGGTTTGCACGTCAATATATCTTTGATTGGTGGCGGCCTAGAGAATGTATGGGAGGACCAGAGCATCACTGCTCGAAAAACAATGTTTGTTCAAAGTGTGACATAAACACCAAACACGCAGCTCCTCCTCACCTTTCTTCTCCTGGCCTTAGGTTTTCAACGGTGTCATGGCTGTGGAGAAAAGAAACACCACAGTCAGAACAGTCATGTGACAGGAAGTCTTCATTCTACCATCTGCCGCCATCATCCACACATTTCTGTGCCTTTTCTTCACCTCCTCCTCTTCCTCCCCTGCTCCGTCTCTGAGCCACAACCTTTCCTCAGCTAAGAGGAGGCAGAGGGCGCTGTTCTTTATTTAATTAGTCCCAGCGGCTGAGAGTTCATGTGGAACCACACAGGCGTTACCCCACTGGACTGAGGCAATAAAGTCACGACGGCAGATTAGACGACGGTGGGGGAACATTTGGTACACGGGCGNCTGGGAAATAATATTTCCATAACCTTTAGAATTTCTCTCCAGTAACTTCTCTATTTTCCGTTGGACGTTGGTGTGATGTCAGGCTCTCTGTGCTTCAACATTCTCTGTTCCAGATGATTTAGCTGCTGCTACTGTCCCTCTGTTTCCTGAGACAACTTTGTCTCATCCTCAAGGTCTGAGAGTCAAATGTTGAGACTCTGCCTCGTGTGTTTCATATCAGGACGTTTTAAAAGAAAACAAAAACACAATAAATAATAAAGTAGGCGTGAGACCTGGATCAGTATTACCCAACGACTGGTTTATATTTGTATACATGTATGAGCCTTTGATCAGAGCCTTTGAAGTGTTTTGTTGAGGTCTACATGAACCGTCTATCTACATATGTTCAGTCCACACTGTGTGGCTGAGTGTGTGTGTACCAGGAAGCAGGCTCTAGCACACATTCAGTTCTATCATCACCAGACAAATTTCTCTCTGGTCTGGCGTTCAGGCTAATGTGGAACAAACAGCAGGATGTAAATTGCACAGCCTCGGGTTCTGCAAAACAAAATTATACATTTCACATCTAATCCCATCTCCCCAAAGGTGCAGTTTTATGGAGAGAGATTCTTTAAACAGGGACTGAAGGAACACAGTCGTGAACGTGGGTCTGTTTCAGCCTCCAAACGACAGACGTGACTTTCACTCACAAATGATTCTGTTTGTCTCGGTATACCAACTAGAACACAAGAACAAGGGACGCAACTTCCTGTCTCATCAAAGGAGCTTTCACAGGTATATGTATTTTCAGTGTACAAAATAATTGTCTCTGATGTTGACAAATGTCAAAAAGGTCCAATAAATTCTTCTTAGTTCAGGAACAAAATGAAGAAGGGGAGACAACGGGGGAGGATGAAGAAAATTAGGATAAAACCAGTTTAAAGTGTTTTTAATATAAACTCATTCTTTATTCCTAAATCTGTAAGACATTCTACTGTTTACTGAAGAGCCACGGTCACATGACTGTCACATGACTGTGGGTTCTTTGAACTGAAGAATGAGCTGCTGGCCATTGATGGACGACTTCACACTGATAAGAAACACTGTCTGCTCTGAGGCCTGATACTCCCTAACCGTGCACCTTCATGGGACCTCGCCTCAGTTAAGAAGTGTTAATAAACCCTTTTCCTTCAGCAGCTCCTCTTCTCAGGGTCTGTGTCAAATTGTTCTTTTCAACATTTCTTCTTTGAAAGAACTGGGTCACTGGCTAAGGCTCTCTTCCAGGGCTAAAGAGTCAGATCTGAGCGGAGAGTGAGAGAGAAAGGGAGGCAGAGCTCCGCGTCATCAGATGTAGAGCAACATGCTAAGCTAAAGATAAGTGATGCAGCCTGTAGTCCAACTAAAACCCATCTTTGTGTTACGTCTACGTCAGGGTGGACTGGACGGTTTCATCTGGTCACAGCAGCCTCACAGCCTCCAGACATTGGTTGGTCTTTCTGTAAAGGCAACAAAGGAGCAGTTGCAAATGACTGTGTCCAGGTCCCCAGTTATTACTGCTTATTGTTTTAATCAGGGCAGCTGTGGGGGGGGGGGCAGAGGGGGGCGCTCCCCTTTGGACAGTTCATTAAGATAACATGCTAACGTGGCTTCCCATCATCCTGGCTTTATTAAAGCAGGGCTCATTTCAGCTCTTTTGTTTGCTGCACGATCTCTTCCTTTGTCAGCACCGTCGGAGCCAGATGGCAAAACAAAGCTGTCCGTCCGCAGCGCTTACTGAGCGACCTCGGACGGCACAGCTATTAGACCGACTTCACCACTTCACTGCCCACAGCTTTCACCTGGATCAAGCAGGTGCACGGACAGTGACGGCGGAGTGGAAAGAGAAACACCGTCGCGTCACTCGTCTGCTCGTCTTTCCCGGATCCTAAGGCTCAACTTTTGGGCGCGGCTCGTTGCTGGCTGCCAGGAATCACGCTCGGCTGAACAGACCGCACTAAAACATTGATGAGAACCCAGAATGAAAGTCATCGTGGGCCTTCACCTCGCGGCTTATTAAAATCACATGGCATTAAGTTGGCTGTGCAGAGAAAGGCCAAATAATTCAATCAGACTGAAGACGGAGTCAAATGGACAACTGTAATGACGTTAATGCTAAAGGGAGGACGTCCAGGTCTCAGACCGAGGCTGCAGGAGCTGCACTCATTACTAATGATACAATTAATTCTGCTTTCATAAGGTCAGAACCACAGCTGCTAAAATATCACATCGTCTTCAAACAAACAAACAAAAACATGTGGAGCTTTTTTATTTCTCACTCACGGAGAGTGGAGGGAAATTATGGACAAAACTGCAAATAAACTGATTTAATGAAGAAAAATAATACAATAAGGAATTGTCTTTGTTTTTGCCACATTGACAGGAAGTGGCTAAAATGGAGTGAGTACCTTTGAGTACTTTTTGAAAACTGTGTATTTTTTCAACATATATTTCAACAAAACAAAAGTAAAAGAAACAAAAAAAACAAAAACAAACAAAGAAGAAGAGTCACGAACCAGAAAAGGTTTGGAACCAGTGATTTCAGACCTACATCCATTAAATAAAAGGATCAAAACCAGTAACCAATAACCAGTAACCAATATCTGACCCCTCCTAACGCAGAGCTTTGATTGGCTCAGTGCTGCTCTCTACAGCCAATGGCTCTTTAGATAAAAACTTTACCAAAAAATGACAACATCAAATGTCAACATGTCAAAAATCCATCACATGTCCATCACATGTCCATCACATGTCCATGACATGTCCACTACTCTGTCCCAGGGTGTGGACGTCTCCACTGACTCTAACCCTAGATTCAGACTTCTCTGGTGTGTGGCTAAACTCGAGGCTTGTGAAACCAGTGAAGCAGCGCTGGTTTTCTCTGAAGGACACACCTGGATGTCCTGTCCCCTCGTGTCTTCCTCCCCACCGCGGAGCCTTTTCTACCTTAAACACTGACTTTGAAAACCAGGTGTGGTTCCGTTAGTATTTGACATTTGGATTTCACTGGTGAAACGGCTCATTTTTTACCTGCCAAACGGGGGCAGAAAAGTTAGAGAACCACCGATAAAAACTTTTAATGGATGGATTCGCTGCAGTCGCTGCAGTTTCCTGACCAGCACTGGTGAGTTACACACAGCTGCTGCTGATGAATGCAGCAACTTGAGCAGGTGTACGTAGACTGACCTGTCTTTGAGTCGTCTTTCTCCAGCTCCTTGGCCTCTTCAGCTGCGGGGAGACAGAGAAGTCATTATCAGAGGAGCCACGGTGAGCTGATCCTTCACAGCTCAAAGGACACGGCTGTGACGACAACACACACACACACACACACACACTGCAACATGGAGCCTGTACCAGATCTCACACACACACACACACACACACACACACACACCGCCCTAACCTCCCACTCTGCTCTCTCCCACAGACAGTAATCACATTAGTCACTAAAACCTCACTGTCAACAGAGTTAAGGAGTTAACTCAGTGATGGCTGTCACTCACACACACACACACACACACACACAGAGTCTAAAAATAATTCTATGACAGAGTTTAGAAGTGGCTGATACTGATTCTCTGACACTTTTTTCAGATATTTGAGACTCAACTGATCATTGAACAGACTTATTCTGAAGAGAACGTCATTTTTCTGTCATTTTTCTGTCATTTTTCTGTTGACACTCCTGTACGTCAGCCTGCTGTTCCTTGGATTTGACGGCACCGCCTCTGGTTCTCCAGGGAAATTAGCAAAAACAAAATGATTACAGCAGCAGATCGTGCTGCGTTTTCAGATCCGTCTCTGAACCGACCGAGCGTTTTAACTTCACCCTCCTTGGTTCCTTGGTTCCTTGGTTTCTTGGTTCTGTACCGTGTTTTATAAAAAGAAACAAAAATAACACTCATTTAAAAAACCTTCTACTCCGCGTGTGTTTAAACATAAAGATACCAAACTGCCACGGTCAGAGTTGTTTAGTCGTGATTTTAAAGAATCCGTTTGAATCTTCAGACTTTTGTTGGAGACGTTTTAAATAAAGGTTTAGAAGGAAACTGTAAAGAGTCAAATTCACCACAGTCTTCTTCTAATCTACACTGAGAATGTTTCAGTTTCATGTTCCCGTGACAGCGCCCCCAGTGGTGGGAGAAAGACCGAGGTTTGGATTGAACTGTAAAAGGTGGATAAAGGCTTTTCTATGAATCCAGAGGAGGATTATTCTGTCATTCCTCAGAGGATTTTGGTCCAGATTTTGCAGTTTTCTCCTGTTGATTTTACATTAAAAAAACCAGCTACACTGATCATGTACGTGTTCCTGATCCATCACTTCATCAGGTTGAGGATTCTTCACCAGAACAATGTGGAGACCCTGAACAGAGAAATGAAAGCCTCCCTTGATCGAGTCATCAAAGACTATCATACATGAATCTGTCAGTACAAAGGTGTCATGATATTGGATTATTTTCAGAATGTGCAGTTAAATCCAGTCAAATGGATGAGCCTTTGACCCTGACCAATCAGACACAGTGAAGGAGAGTCCCTCCAGTTGGACCACACCTGGGAACACCATTAAAAGATAAGACCACCATAATTAGACGTCCCTGATTCTCTGACGCTGGCTGCTCTGAGTGAACAGTGGACGTCCTACTTCAGGAACCGCCCATCGGTTCCACACAGTCTCACAATTTCATCAGTTTGGAAAAATAGGTGAAATAGTGGTTTCGCTCCATCTGCAGGTTCCCGTGTGGAAAACACCAAAGATGGTGAAATCAAGGCTGGCAGGAGACAGAATAGAAGTTAATATTTCAATCAAGAGGAGAGTGGGTGAGCGTGTTAATCATCCCACAGTTGAAGCTGTTGAAGCTGCAGGGGAGGAGCGCTGCTCCTTCTTCAACCTCACCCTGTCAGCCTGTAGCTCATGGACTTATATTTCTCTCTTTCCATTTCATTTGATTTTTCTATGTTCCACAGAGCTATTTACTCTTTCCTCTAACTCTGTGTCACTTCCATATTTATTTTTAAACCTTTGGGCTGCGGTGCAGACACTGGCTGACCTTTATTTAAATGTCTCCTCCACTCTGAGTGGATCTCATTACAGCAGAGCTGCTGGCTCCGCTCTATACATCTCATTTCAGAACTTTTCTCCCTGCACTTGTGGCCAAACTCAGCCGTTCTCCGCTGCTAATTACTGAACCCAAGTAATGATGCTGTCGCTGCCACTGACGCAGAGTGCGTCGGCCATCGCCGTCTGACAGACCGCCTCTCCGCAGCAGGCACAGCTCCCTCTGGACTCTCTCTAGTTCCAGTCAGAATACCAACATGGGTTCTCCTCACATCTGCCCCACCGTGGGCAACACATCACAGTTATTAAAGGTGGCTGCGCTGTTCTAAACTTTGATGAAACTCTTGGTCTGGTATAGATGTTGGATCAATTATTCAGTAAACTCTTGACTACACCTTTACTAAATCACTGCCTTCACTTGTTTCATTCAGTCCTTTTACCACAGGGTACCTCCCCCCCCCCCCCCCCCCCCC